GAAGATGAGTTAGACGTTATCTATATGACTTTACAATAAGAAATGTCAAATAAATGATAGTAAATGACGCACTTTATAGTCTAGTCAATACTTAAAAATACTCAAATGTTGAATGCAAAACATTAGATATTTGAAAAAAACCGATTATTTAAAGACTATCCTTGAGGATAAACAAAATTCATATACATCTGCTTCCTACAAAAAAAAAGTATCTTATTGAGAAAAGATTTAAAATGATAGGTAGAATGATATGAACCACTATAGAATATAAAAGAACACACCATGTAATTATGGATCATAAAGGATAAGTTTAACAGTTAAGGTAAGTCACAAATTCAATAGCGATAGCAATAGCTTAATACCTGTTGTACGAGGAACAGAATATTTTATATCACTATTACTTTTAAGATATTTATAAACAGGCTTATTGTTTAATAGTAAATGGCTCTGACTCTTTTTCCAAAGTATAATTAGTTATTGTAATAAAAAATACATGTTTAGAAAGGTCAGTTTAAACTATTGCGAATTATTAATATGTATAAGCTTTCAAGAAATGAATTCATTTTTGTCTCATCTATTGCCGGTCAAGATATAAATTCAAATTATAAAATTTCTACCGTTTCTTTGTTTTATTAACGTGAAATGATATTGACACAAGTTGCATAAGGTTAAGAGAATTTTTATGTCACTGTTTTAATTTGAATTATTTCATACTTTATCAAAAATTACGTAGTAAAAAATAACTATCGTTATATTAGATTTTTTAAATACGTAATATACAGTAGATTTCACGCGACTTTATCAGAAATTGCCGATGAAATGATAATAAGTAATGTGATTGAAGCAATTTGTAAATTATTGAACAAAAGGAATAAAAGGTCGATAGTAAATAAATCCAAAACATAATTTAAAATAATCTTTATTCAACTTAAAGTTTATAAATAATAACGGTTTTAACATCATAAATAAATAATAATAAAAAACAATAATGCCAAAAACAAAAAATCTAAATTATCTATATTAAACTCTAAGCTCTTTAAAAAATTATCTTAAAAAGGTGCATAACCACCAGGTGGAATTCGAATAAACTTCCATTTTTCTTCATATTTCTCCCAATTATTCCATTCAATATCTTTCAACAATTCAATCTTTAATTCCAAAGCTTTTTCGTAATCTTTAATATTCTCATTACCCAATCCAGTTTCTCCAAACCATTTTCCAAGCGCCTTAAGAGCATTACCAAATCGTTTTTCTCGTCTTTCGCGTATAATATAAACTTGCAACTGTTTAAAATCTGATATAGGTGGTACAGCATCTAACCATTGAGCAAGTTGCTTCCAACTTTCTTCCAATTGCGTTGATAAATTATCACTTGATGAACTAGTTGATGCAAGAATATCTAATGCCCTGATTTTAGATCCTAAAGCTAATATGACAGCTTTCTTCTTATCATCACACTCCTTTTTCTTCTTTTTAGCGGCTTCATTAGCATTTGTATCTTGTTTAACTCCATAATATTGCGCCAATTCTACTAAATCAATCTTTTTTAATAATTCGTCAGAAATTTTCAAGATTTTATTTGCTGTTTCAGGTGTCGAATTTTCTTTTTCCTCATTAGTTCCAGAAGATGATGATTCTAAAAGTAATTCCAATTTAGTTTGTAAAATTGGCAAGTGTGATGGAAAATTATCTTCTAATTCTGAAAGTAAATTCTCTCTAGCTGTTGATTCCGATGGATACTTTTTCAAATAAGATATTTGTAAATCTCGAATTGCTTCTGAAAGTTCTTCCTTAATTTTTTCTTCTTTTTTTTGTGGATTATCAGCAGTGTCAGATGGTCCAGAACCACCAGCAGGTGTTGTATCTTTTCCATTTTCACCACCATTAGTAGAATCTTTGGGTTTAGCAGGCGGTGGTGGAATTAACAAACTAACTGCATATTGTCCACCATCAATCTTCGAAGAGTTTACAAAATTCAATCGCCCTATTAATAAATCACCATATTTACTTTCCTTTGGATATACAGAGTAATCATTCGGTGATCCGATAAACATTGCTTGCCTTGCTCCTTTTTCCAAGTAACTTTTTACATTTGTAGATTTACCAGCTGTAAAGACATCATGTATTTGACCAAATACGTCTAAATTAACTTTTTTGGTTAAACTGTAATCTAAAAAGCATACAGTGTTATTTAACTTTTCTAATAACTCTTGTGAATGATGACGAACTTGTGCACGAATAGTGTAATCTCCTTTATATTCTAGTTTAAAGGTTTTAGCATAAATGTCTAAGTGGCCGATAACTTTTTTATTTACATCATATACTACATTAATATAATCAATTTTCAATTATTTAATAAATAAAAAAATTCGTTAAATAAAAATGACATATATTTAAAAGAATTCTTACGTATTGCAAAGAAATCTTCAAAATAAGAATCATACAATAAATCAAAGAATGCAGGAAATCTTGGTGTAAGAGACAAATTCTTTTCAGGCGTAGAGAATTTATATGTTAATGTTAAAGCATTTACTCTTCGAGAATTTGGATGAACATCACGATCTATGCCAAGTGGTTTTAAGGATGATTCTGCTGGCCGAATTTCTTTACGGATGGTTTCTTTTTATTTATGAATAATAATAATAATAATAATAATAATAATAATAATAATAATAATAATAATAATAATAATAATATCGTTAAATAAATATTTTTAATGTTGATACCTTGCTTGCGTATTAAAAATTAATAAAATTTTTACCAAGTTGAACAGAAGGGTTAATTCCATCCTCCCGCCTAACAGGTGCGATAATTTCCAAACGAGTGAACGAATCTCCACCGTTAATAAAAACTGACTTATTTCTACTTACGGCATTATTTGCAATTTGAATACCATGGAAATTAAATTCTAATGACACATCATGATTTCCAGAGTGAGACCAATATTGTGCGATGCAAATCTTTTTTTTTTTTAAAAAAAAAAACGTTAATAAAATAATCGAGTTCAAATTAATAAAATAAAAATAATCGGGTTTAACATTAATAGATATAAACTACAAACCTCCATAGTCGCACCACCACAAACAGCAAAGCTTTTTTTTTCAATTTGTTCTTCCCCACTACCATCACCGTAACTTCCTTTTGCAAAACGAAAAGTATATTCACGTTCTTGATATGTGAATCGTCTTTGTGGAATCAATTGTATCATATGTAAGCAGAAAAATGCTGGTGAGGTAATTTTATTCGCGGCTGATTTCAGCGTTACATCTTTTAAATGTATTAAATATTGGTTATTAAAAATTCTTATAATAAAATATAACAAATAAAATTTATATAGACCTGCATATGTAGCACCATCAGGAACCTTGATAAATCTTCTTTCAATATGACCAGGACCAAAAGACAATTTATCAAAGCAAACTTTAGACCCGTTAGTTAAAATACTTGGTTTGGTAACTGTAATTGGTACTCGAAATAGTGGACCTCGATCTGGACAAGTTGTATCATAACCCTAACAAAAAAATTTTATGATTAATTAATATTTCAAAGACTAATTAATGAACTATTTTATGACATTTACTTGAACTTCAGCAAAATATAATCCACCAGGTGTCAAATTAGTTGGATCAACTTTTACGTCAAAAGTTCGACCTACATCAATTAAAATCACATTTTTTAATATCAGATAGATATTGACTAATTTGTAGATAAATAATGTTACATACCTTTACTACCCATTAACAAGAAATCAGTTACACGCACCCAGGGTTGCGTGCTAACCAAAGCCAATCTAATTTCGAGTTCAAATTTCTTTTGATTATTTTCTCCAGAAGCTGGGTCAATCTCCTTCATAAATTTGGGAGCAACAGTGACATTAATAGTTTGTGGACTTGAAGTTTCGTGTAATTCCCTCAAGTATATACCACGCCTACATCTTGGTGTGTCCGAAATTTTGACCTATATTTAGGTTAAAATTTAATAATAATCAGATTATTAATTAAATTAGGTTGAACATTTCTTTAAACTAAAGAAAAGATGCATTTTATGTATGTAATAAAATGTTTATCACACCTCATAAAGAAGGTCTTGATCGGGAAGTTCATAAAACTTTTCAAGATATTCCCATGCTTTTTCAACTTGTAAAAATCCAACACCAAAAGTTTCATTGACTTGTTTTGAACTATTAACCAGAGCATTTTTAATCCTATAAGGTGAATATTTTTTATTTTCAGCCTTAAGACCTGATAGAAGTAATGCTACACATCCAGTTGCATTAGGCGAAGACCTATAAGAAGAGTTTTAATAAAATAAAGACTACGATAATCTGTAGTAAGATCTAGCAAAGTTTTATAAATACATGGAAGTCCCATTCATCAGTTGAGCTTTTGTTAAAGAATATTGCGGAGTAGATGTGATAGCACTGATATAATATTAATTTTAATATTAAATAAAAAAAATTATTTTAATCAAAATATGTAAAAATAACCTACCCTCCGGGGGCATATATTGTAACACCAATATCACCATCAGTATTAGGACCTTGAGAAGACCATGTATATGCACGTTCAGGGACTGACTCTAGAAGCGCGTATTCAGCTTGGATCATTGAATGACTAACATAGGCACCAACCCCAATTATATCTTAAAAAAATTGTGTTATAATAAGATAAGAAAATAAATGATAAAAAAATATATGTAGTGAATTTGCATACCACTTGATGTTCCACCAGGAGCGCCAAGTGTACTCAGAGCAGGACCACTATTGCCAGCACTACTAATGAAAATACAACCATGTTTTCCAACAACTTCATTGCGAATCAAGTCAATAAAGTGACCATAATTGGGTACAGCTGATGCTTCACCAAAACTCATATTAGCAAGATCACTTTTAGTTTCTACAAGAGAAATAGCAGCCCTTGCCAATCCGGCACCAGTTTCCATAGCATTTAATCGAGTGTCCCCAATTTTAAGAGAAACAATCTATATATAATCATAGAATTTTGAGCAATAATAATTTTTAATGTATTGTCTTTTTTTTTTCTACAAATACTAGCATAATAAACAAATTCTTACCTGAGCACCTGGAGCAATCTATAGCATCACAAACAATATAAAAAAAAAAAAAAAAAAAAAAACTTTTTCTTTTAAAGCATATAATGAATGAACAATAATTTACATTTGATTTCTAAATGTTGAATACCCCATTAAGAACAGGCTCATCTGGATGATATGCAGCAGAAATGGCAGCAACATGAGTTCCATGAGTATCGGAGGTAGTAACAATACTTTATAATAATCAAATAAAATTTAATATTATGAGATGTTTTTAATGAAAATAAGTAAACATAAGAATATTTTTTACCTGACAATGTTTCCGTCATCGTAAATATTAACAGAAAAATTCATCTGATCTTCTTTACTGAAAGTGTGATATTGTCGTTCCTTTCGGTAATCAGTTAAAAGTGGTGCACCTATAATTCCCAATAGTTTACGTGATATATTGTTGGAAATATAAAGACATATAAAACAACCAAAAAATATAATATAATTGAAAGTAACCTCTCAAATCACAACTTTCATCGAGATCAATAACAACTCTCCAATCACTTCCATCAAAAAATACAACTACATCCAAAAATATACCAGGGTCATCATAACTTTTTAACATATCTTTGAGTACTTCTAGCCTTGCTTCAAGATCCGCTTTAGTAGAAAGTTCACTTTCTGATGGATTTGAACAATTAGAATGAGATTCTTCCCAGAGAGTGAGGTTTTGTTGTGCTTCAGCTTGAAGCCGATAATGTTCATTTGTAAAATTCTCTTTACGCCCCTAAATAAATATATACTCTGAGTTAATGTTTAAGTTTTAAAAAGGATGCTTGTAAAATTTGCACTTATTATTTAATGACCTTTTTAAGTCTATTGGCTAGATCTTTTGGAAAAAGATCATATAACCGTTTAATACCAATATGAAATTCTTCTGAAGGATTATCCCAACTTGGATCAATTATAAGAGTACGGCCAGTTAAGCCTTTAATTGTGTGTAAAGTCTCGTTTCCATCTTTTTTGATGATAGGCTTTACAATAACTTTGGTCGTTACATCACCTTATCATTTAAAACAATTTAAACAAAAGGTATGTCAGAAATAAACATTTAAAAAATATCATAAATAAATAAAATAAAAATTTTACCAGAGCCGGTACAATCAACGATATCAATAATCTTTGGTTTCCCTTCAGTAGTAGTCTAAAATCAAGAATGACTAAAAAATTTTTATTTGAGATAAAATTGAAATTTAGCGAAATGATATTTGTTACCTGTAAACCGACAGCACCTGGATCAACACCAGTATCTATTATTGCGATAATAGTACCACGACCGTCATATTCAGGATGTTTTTTCAAAAATGAAGCAGCTTCAGTTTCCTTTTATTATTTTATATAACATGCAAATTAATCAAACTGAAAAAATGCATTATTATATAAAATATATGTTACAAATACAAATAGGAGAGATCGTACCTCCTTAGGAAGTAATCCATATGTAGGAAAATCAGGAATTGATTTTTGTAATTTATGTGACATTTTTTTGAACAAATCTTTATCTTTTTAAATATTTTTAAATTATTCGTAATAAAAATAAGAGAAGAATATACTCAAATACTTAGCATATATTGTAGTAACTGCCATGAATATCCGATAATGAACCAGGTTTATATATTGCCATTATGACTTTTAATGCTATTTTGCAGTCATTTTTTTTTTTTATCGAATATTGGTGGCAAAGCATTATATCGCATTAAATAATGAAACAAAATGATTGCCTACCGTTTCTTACTACCAGCGAATGGCTGAATTTGTAAAATCGATAAACTCGAATTGAATTTTTTTTTTTTTTTTTTTGATCAAACTTTAAATATATGTCCAATAAAAAATTTTACTCACTTTTTTAAAGAGAAATTATTATAGATAAAAAAATTTTCGCGTCGTATATATGATGAAAATAATTTATTATTGATATTTTTAAATATGTTAATAATACTGAAAGTATTACATTTATTACGAATATTGTGAATTACAATATTTTTTCCTAGAAAATATTTAAAATTCATGATTCACACACCTTATTAGTAAACTAAAAAAATTGATGGATATCAGATATCTGATATATAGTTCTTTGATGATTATTGATCGAGATTATTTATACGGTAATATCGATATTGTTACACATAGTACGTAAGCAAATTTTTTTCTTACGTACTGGGTATACGTAACGATCAAAGAAAGAAAAGAATTACTGGATTTGGTTAAATTTGTGAGGGGTTAGGTCCCGTGAATACTCTTCAATAGAATAGATATAGTCAGTGATGTACAATTTTGGCATGTCCAAAGCTTTTTTTGAAATAAAATGTTGAGTAGATTCACTACGTATAATTTTTTTGTCCAAAATGTCCAAAATTATGTCCATGTACAACACTGGATATAGTGTACGTAGGAGTAGATTAGTGGCGCAACCAGATCGGCCTGCAGATCTTTTCCGGATCACAAACCGGGATACTTTAATTGGGGATGGCTAAAGCCATGTACCTTAGGGTTAGTTTTTTTTTTGATGCATTTAATAGTTTTATTTATATATAGATATCAATAACAGAATTTATGCAATATGTAGATCTATATGTAAAGGTTCATGGCTTTAGACGACCCCTTTAAATGGTTCGAGTAACCTGGTGAATCCGGTTGACTCGGTTATTTACGGTAAGAAATCCATTATGGGAGCTTGGGAGTGAAAAATTGATTTAGCTGAAAAGGTTACAGTCAATTTTCCCGATGGTCATTTCCCCGAAAGACTGACATCACATAGGTGATACTTTGCTAATAATATATGCCTAAAACTAATAAAATGCTAACCCTAACCCTACGTGATGTCGGGTAAATGAAAATGACTTTGGGAAAGTGAGCAACAACGGGCTGAAAATGGTTATCCTGTATTAGAAATAAGCAAAGTAATTTATTTATTCGTCGTTTTGAAGTTCTCATTTAGGACTTTTCAATAGGGATCCGTCCGGTCCGGTCCTATTGTAGTCCTTAAAAAGACCGTCCTTAATCGGTTAATTCCATCTAACCATATCGGGTTTAATATAAAATATGCGTGATTTAAGAGTTAACCAATCGGAGTATAGTATAAAGTTATCAATCGCCCAACTAGTTTTAAATTATGGTATTTAAAAAGTTCTGTTATTGATTCAAATTTATTTTTTTTTATTCGATGTGTCAAAAAAACACTTTTTAATATCATGTGACTAGCGCGCTAGTTCAGAACCGGTCCCGAACTAGTTTCTCTAGTCTTCAGTTCAGACCGGTCCGGACTAGGCCCCCTGTGGACCACTTAACATCACTAAAATATTCGCATAATCCAACATGAAAGTAGTTTGGCTGTCGTATACGGTAAGTCAAATTTTATATTAATAATTTTGTAATTGCTAGTACTCATTACGTATTAAATACGTATTTATATTAGTGATTTAAACCGAGAAAAAATCTTAATCAGTGCCAACTAATTGGAACCAGTTATGATTATTTCACACTTATCTTTGAAAATTCTCAAATTTTTGTATTCATCTTGCTCGTCTTTTATGTTAATTTAATTTATTTCGTAACTTTTCGAAAGATTTGCTCATTCTAATCAATTACTGATTCTCAACTAGTTGTACGGATCAACCGATTAAGAATTTACTCAACTAGTTACGTACCCACAATTTATTCAGTTCAGGTCGGTTAACCGATTATAGCCCAACCGGTTCAAATCACTAGTTTATATCGACCATGATTTTAATAGCCAAGTTCATTACTATTTATTTAAATAAAGTAGTTTTCTTTTTAAAACAAATTATACGTTATTTTTGTGCAAGAATTAATGAGACGACTTAAAGACTAACCTCTTGACACATAAAGTAGAAAAAGTAGTTCACTATTAAATCCGAACACTAAACCATCTGTAAACTCAAATTCATAAATACGCTTTAACAAACTAAACTAAAATTTAAATATCTTAAATATAAACCCAAATCTCTCATGTTAATAAGCTTGCGAAATCCAAATCTTTAAAAAAATAGACGTTATTTTTGGTTTGGTGTGTGTATGTTAAATTTAGACGAAGCTTCTTTCCTTTACCTTTTTCAGAATGTCGTGTCTAAGCTAACTCCTCTGAATATATGATTATAAATTATTAACTTTAGATTTAGTTTTCTAGCATTCTTTTAAAGCTAAAAATAATGTTTTTTTTTGCTTTGTATTCCCAAAAAGTATATACCCGGGCAATTGATTTACATCAGCTAATCAGACAAACTTCTGCCTATGAACTAGAAATAGTTAACAGCAGTGTTGTACGTGGACAGCCTTTGGACAAGAGTTAAACATTTTGGACAAAAAAATAAAGTGAATTTACTCGAAAATTTATTAAGATAACCTATTCAATCTTTTAAGCAAAAATGTTTAGAATTAAACGGAGAATATAATTATATAATTTTTATTTCTATTACTAAAATATTTGAAGCTATGGACACTTTGGACACGCCAAAACGTACAACACTGGTTAGGAAGCTAAAATAATATAATAAATTCGATCTAATAATGCCATTAGGATTTGATACCGTGTTTCCCTTGTGAACGTGTTTTAATGATTTGTAGAGCTCTATCATAGTCTCAACTAGAGGTTGGAACCGGTTTTAATAATTCGGGTTTATCACATGAATTTTGTGATATTTTAGAATTTATTAAAATTTAATTGGATAAAATTTCTAAAATATCACAAGATTCACGTGATAAACCCGAATTATTAAAACCGGTTCCCACCTCTAGTCTCAACTTCAACCAAACGAGGTTTGCTAATCTCTTTAGTCTCGAAATCGTATATATTGTCGCGGGGGGGGGGGGGTTCCTAACTACCTATAAGTTTAGGTCTAAGTTTTATCTCGATTGACCTTATTCTTATACTGCAGGTATCTTACGAGGTGATAAGAGTAATTACGTGTAATAATAATAAAAGAGATCGAACCCGAACTAGGTGGTAGTACTCATCGAATTATTGTTCTCGCGCATAATCTAACTTCGCTCATATCCCGAACCAGGTACACGGGATATTGATTAGTCACGCGACATATAGGCAATTAATATCCTATCCATATCAGTGATCTTTATTCATAAAAACCACCTTGCCAATTTGAAGATGAAAAAAAACAAATCTAGAGAACAAGGGCTTAATCTCAGTGGATCGTAGCACTAAGACTACTCTACCACTTACAATACCCAGTTCTTTATTTAAGTCGTCTGCAAAGGATTTATCCACACCAATATTTGAAATTAAAATTCAAGAGTGAACCAAGTTAAAGTTTCCGATAACTCAGCATAACCCAAACAATATGATTTAGGAATCAAAAGATTCTATTTTTATTCAACTAAATAAGGCATGGGTAATAATCGTTACGTTCTAGCATGGATTCTGACTTAGAGGCGTTCAGCCATAAT